TTTTTGCCTCCAAATTTACATTCATTTGTACCAAGTGCAAGTGTCAACTTGTTTCATCCACACCTAAAGTTTGCACAATGAAATAATTAAGATAAGTAAATTTATAATGATAATTGATAGAATTATAGAAAAAAGTTTAATTTTTTCTCTCTTTTTTTTTTTGTAATTTTAAAATTTATCTCACTTTTTCCCCTTATTTTCTTATTATTATATAAAAAATTTATTTAAAAAAAAAAAACCACCTGGACTGCCTAGGCACTTTAGGCGTTAGGCTATGGGCAACCAACCACCATCGTCTAGCACTTTTTACAACCTTGGAGGTAGGGGTGGTAAAGGAGGAATGGTGTTCCGATCCTAATTGGTGGTTTTCGGACAATGACAAGCAGAGTGCAACAAAAATTGAATCGGAATATTCTTTGTTGCCTAACAGTCATGAGGATCATGACTTGATTCATGCCGAAAATGGGGGGGAGAATGAGGAGATTTTGATGAGGAGTTGTTAGAGAATGAAGGGAATTTAAATTTGCACAGGAATTGTGCAACAAGTGGTAATAATAGTGGGTGTTCGGAAACGGAAGATGATGGCGATGAGTGTAGTGGGCCTAAGAAATGTAATGGGTTGGTGAGGGTTAGGCGAGTTGGGCATGAGGAGTATGATGTAAGGATGGCAATGGGTCCCCACGGAGGCGGGGACCCCCTCCCCATCCCCATCCCCGTCAATGGCGGGTACAGGGATCTTCGTGGGGATTTTTGGCGGAGGGTCAAAAATTGCCTCCGTCCCCATCCCCGCGGGGAATAATAGGTCCCTGCGGGTATTCAGAGTCCCCGCCAAATAAAACTATCACCTATTTCACTGCTTTATCTTTCAGGTTCCATAAAACCCCTTTGTTGTATTAACTTCCTAGCTGTTAGTTATGTCAGTATGTTACCATCTAGCTCAATCATAAAATTTCAGAAAAAGCAATAGTAAATATAATAAATGAACAATGAGATTATGAGAAGGGCAACGCAAAGGACAAACTCATCTCAGTCAAAGATCCGAGTAAGTATCAATTAAGGTAGCACAATCCAAATTGTAGTCATATATATTTTAAATTAAAATTCATCACCATAGAAAATGAAAAGATATTCAAAATTCATTCTTCATGTAGCAAGTGCAAGTTGATACACATACACATACCATCTGCAATAAACAAAATGTGCCTCAAAATCAATTATTTACCAAACTAGCTAACCTCAAATTCCGAAAAAACTAACCTATTCACTATGACCCTGTGGGAAATAAACAACCCTACTTCCAACAGGAGGTAGAGAAACAAGAGGTCCCGCACATGCATGCCAAAGTTCAGAGTTGAGAACCCTTTTTTCCCCTACAAAACATATTTTACATTAATGCAAAACTCCAACCAAAAAGCAAAATGAAGATATAAACAACTACAATCATATTGATCTTAACCACTAAAGAGTAATGCAAAATAGGTCCTCTAAAGGTCTTATGATGACCTTGAACACCTTCCAACAAACATGGGTCCACATTAAATTCAAAATTAAAGCTTGTTATCACAGGATGATTAGAACATACTCTACAGCTGCAACTTGAGCTAGACCTTTGTTCAGTTGTTTCACATGTTTCTTTGAAGCTTCAACAATCATAAGCTGACATATGGACATGATATTGGAACAAATGGTCAATATAGACTCTAGCATTGCATCAAGGCCTTGCAGCTGAACAACGGGAGGATCTTTGTCATTTACTCTAAAACAGAAAATGCTTCATCTTTGAGGAATTTTAACTAGCAATGAATAAAACCATCTATCAAGATGAGAGGAAACACTGAGTTATGGCTACTAGAATTTATTGCCCCAGTCAATCGGGAGAACAACCTTAAGGCACAAATCAAGTTTAACATCCCCAAATGTTGCTACACCGCTAAAGGAGTTTGAGACTATAGATGGTTGAATTTTTACATAAACTATGAAGAATAATACAGAAAAGACATTTCTTATGGGACAGTTAACAGCAATGGTCCTTATGGTGTCTTCTACCTCTAGAGGTCCAATACATCAACTCAGCGTAAGTAATTGTTTTGGAACCATATAGCAACTTGAAATTGAAAGTATATAAATCAAATTTTGCTCATCTGATGTCTCTTTTTCTTGAGTAACCAACCATATATATCTATCTTCTTGTTGCTTCTCAAAAAATGTAACTAATTTGTGTTAGTCTTTTGGTGTCCTAAGGGTTCTTAG